ATGCGCTTCATCCTACTTCACTCCTTCTTATTACTCTAATTAGTGAAATAAATATTTGAGAGGTTAAACCGAACCGAATGCCAGTTTTTTGGAAATTTTATAGACGAAATGTTCGTGAGTTCAGGGGATGGCCGAAACCCTAGTTCGACGCTAAGGTTTCCGATATCAGTTACAACGTAAGAAAATCCAGGTCATGATCGTCCAGCCAACGCGTGGAAAACTGTTAATGAATCGGTTCGAAACGCAAAGGTGAAACTAGCTAAATGATACTTGATATTTTCCATTAGGTTGGAAAGAAATTTTCAGATGGATTACAACGCCAAATTGGACGGGAACGAACAGCGCGTGCACTATAAATAATCCTCTTTATAAGTAATCCTCCCTTTAACGCTGCCCGACTGTCAGGGGTTGGGAATCCTGAACCCCAAGTGTCCAGATATGGTAAACAACTTCCTGGATGTTTTTTAGGTATGTTAAATTGTCTTATGACTCTCTTTATCCGTTTTTATTAGTAATGGGATGTTTCTTACGGCTTTAAACAATAATTGGCTTGAAATGAATCACGAGCAACAATTAGTTTTTGACTTTGTAATAATTTTAAATAATTACCGAAATATTAAACCTGTTTTTTTTTTTCAATTAATTAATCTTTATGTAAGGTATTATGTAGGTTGAGATAAAAAAGTTAGTGTCACGGGATTCGAACCTACGACCTTAGGCTAGATACGCCGCTGCTCTACTACTTGAGCTATCGTGACTTCGATCCACTCGGACACCAACTTCCCATCTCAACCCAACCTTTCGAATTTTCCCTCTTTTTTGCCATTTTTCAAGTCCCATTAAGTGAATGAACCTAAGCTTAATACAGTAACCAACAATGCTACTGTATAAATAAATTGAACACCATATGTACAAGTTTTAAATTACAAAATAACAAATAATAATGTATTTTTAGGGGCATATAAATATAATATAATAAATCATGTAATATAAACAAACCCAGGTGCAAACTGACCAATTTTCCAGACAGGTCTTGGATGTTCTACAACACAAGGGAAACCAATTATTCACCATTCCATCTGATTGTTCTTTTTTACCCCACCAACTTTACTAGTCTCAAAATACATATACACATTCATTAATTACAGATTAACATACATTGATAAATATCGAAAATAAATTGAGAATTATAAATATCCAATTCAATCAAAAATCCTAATTTAGATTTGTTCAAATTTGTTAAACTATTATGAGAAAAAACTATATTTGCGGAACTAATAAAGTATTATTTTTTGTTTTTACTGATTAGTGATTTATATAAGTTTAAATATGCCCATGTATGTACTTGTATGCACATATGTACAGAGTTGAGTCTATCACTTTTCGCCTTCACCAGCATTTTCAGATTTTGTAATTTACAACAAATTACCGGCAGGCCTCGAGAATCACCCACCGCGGGTGTTGGCAGTCCCGGGTCAGATCTTGGTTCTTATCCGTCCAGCCACCGAGGTTGGGCTCCGGTTCGAAGTCAACAGCTAGAGGAATTCAGCACCCAACTCATGCACCTAAATGCATTCACACTCCCTCCCATTCTGACATTCTTACTTATTTACATACCATTCACTAAGGGTAATGGGATACTTAATTTCACACTATGAAAAACATATTTGTACAATTGATTTAACAATCAATATAACGTGTGGTGTTTGGGGACAGTTAACTAATATTGTCGTCGATCCATGTCATTTTGACGCGATTAAGAATAAGCCATGCCAGGTTGACACACGGCGCTTACTTTTGGTCCGAAGCCAGTGTATGTGTCCGGCATGCATAGAAATGTGTCTCACCTAATTGAAGGGTGCAATTCCTTGGCTCCATACATAGAGCGCGCAGGAATGCCACCCGATATAAAAACAGTGTTTGAGCACGGCAGCGATTATATGGGTCCCATGATCCGATTCTTGGAGGAAAGGGGTTGTCTATTGTATATAGTAATAATAGTTGTGAATAGATAGTTTCTTTGAGAGTGAATGTATTTATTAGCGTGAACGTGTGATGTGGGAGGGTTGATGGCGGAATAACGAGTACCTCATCGACCCTTATTTAGGCTAGTTGTACAGTATGTGTAAAGCTTGTGTTGAGAGTGAATGTATTTATTAGCGTGAATGTGTTATGTGAGAGGGTTGATGGCGGATTATCGAGTACCTCATCGACCCTTATTTAGGCTAGTTGTACACTATGTGTAAAGCTGGTGTTGAGAGTGAATGTATTTATTAGTGTGAATGTGTTATGTGAGAGGGTTGATGGCGGATTATCGAGACCCCCCATCGACCCTCCAGTAAGTTAGTTCTATAATATGTATAAAGGGTGTTGGAGGAATATCGAGTCTCCATCACTTTAATTGAATGAATCGCAATGAATGGTAGAAGTGAAAGTACTTTAAGAATGAACATGAGTATGAATGGGTTTGTAACTGCATGTGTTGTGTGCTAAATTTTACAAAACTGTTGACCCCCCCCCCCCCCCGAGATCAACCTCGGCGGCTGTACGGATAAGACTGAGGTCTGCCCCCGAACTGCCAACACCCCGGTGTGGTGACTCTCGAGACCTGCCGGCAATTAACTGTACATTGCAAAAGCTGGAAGTGCCGGTCGAATACTAGAAGTGAATAGGTTCAACTCGACACATGTTTATGTATATATTCGTACACGTTTGTGCCAATACGTATCCAAATCCAAAATCCAAAAAATTGTAAAATAAAGTAATTCTTGTTGTTTGTAGATGTAGGTGTATATTCAGGGGATGAGTATACAGAGCCAATTTGATTATTTGACCAGGCTTTATTGGTATTATTGGTCTTCGCAAAATATTATGGCACCAAGTATAGCAGTCGTATTATGAGAGATGGGAGTCTCATCCATCTCTTCTCAGAATCTATGCCTAACGTGTTGGTCGATGCCTATGGGGAGATTTTGCATAATGTTGGCGTAAACGGTAAACATAAATTAATTGAAGTGCGCATGCGCAGATTTAATGGAACGCTATCTGAAATGTTATTTGTCTTAGAATATTGTGTTTGTTAACGGCTGACGGTAATGTCAACAAAGTAATTTTTGTGGAGATATTATCCTATTTAACGATAATAATATTATTGTGTATGCACAAATATAACAAAATGGTTTAATAGTTAATATTTTACAATTCGTACAAGTTTTCATGAATCTCGTCTGCTAAGGATATACGTATATTTGGTGTTCTAACATTAAAATATTTAGCAGTTTTATTTACTGACAAGAAGGAATGACAGATCAACTGGAACTTTATACATATTTTCTTTAATAAAGCCACAGCAATTATTTACAACGGTTGAACCGAATAAGTACAGTTTGAAAAGTAAAATTGCAAGAGACAGGGATAGAATGTGGTTATAATGAATATGTATATGTTTAAATAACTGCACTGTAATATTTCAGTTTTTCCTGAAATGCTTTTCGTCCCCAATTTTATATTAATTGAACTTGCCCCGAATTAATGTTTACTTTGTACGTTAGAGGTCTACAATCTATCCCTACAACTATCAGGTCTTCAACATTTTCCACACTATCACTATCAGCATGTCAGCAATCAAAAGAAAGTGCATAACATCCAGGAATGGTGCCTGTGTTTACAAGATGCAAGATACAACTACAGCCTGAACTACTACAAACTCCCCAAGACACTTAGCGGTAAAATCATTTATTGTCATCAGCAATTGTCTACAACATTCATGGAATATTTGTGTCGAACCGAATAAATACAGTGTGAAATGGTTAACTAACTGCACCGTAATATTTCACATTTTTCCTGAAATACTATGCTTAGTTTTTTTCTTAAGACTGTTGACACTTTTCGTCCCCAATTTCATTTAAATTGCCCCGGCTATTCACGGAGCACTGGCTCGGTGGATGGACAGATAAGAACCGAGGTCTGTCCCCCAGACTGCCAACACCCGAGGTGGGTGATTCTCGAGTCTGCCGGGAATTTACTGAAAATATCAAAAGCGGGAATTGCCCGTGGACTACGAGAAGCCAATAGACTCAACTCGGCACATGCAGGTACGTACGTGCATGTGCGGATTTGAACCTCTACAAATCTAAAATTTAAAAAAATTCATCCTTCAGGTTTTTTATATGCCTAGGTGTTGCGTATCTTGCAAGACAATTATCGTATATCGCTTACGACCTAAAGATGTGTAGCATCGCTGTGGTGTGAACTTTACCTTAGAGGGTTAGAAAAGGGCTGAGTTATTCTGCATTTAGCGGCAGAGAAACTCGTCTGTCAAGAGTTTAAGAAAGGCGAGGAGAAGAAAGAGAGAGAGTGAGAGTGAGAGAGGGTGAGAGAGTGGCTAAGCAATTTCTGTGTTGCCTTGGCGACCGTTTTCCCTTGTTGGGTTATTCATATATCAGGCTCGGTGATGCATACAGCTTGGGGCGAGCGGAGAGGAAGACGAGCCGGCAGCCGGTGCCGGTGGGCGAGCCAGTCCAGGTAGAATCAATACACAGGGATGTAGTAGGCGGAGTCGACGTGGATTCGCCGGCGGCGGTGACATGCGCCCCTGTCCCGGCGCCCCTCTCCTTTCCCCTCCAACCACCACACAAACAGTGCTCCCTTAAACCTGTCCGCTAAGTATATTTTTGTAGCGTTGTTTTTGAAAAAGTTTTAACCTGCCCGAGTGGGAATCGTGCGTGTGTGCGGACGGAAGAACGGGCCCGCTCTGCATTGGAGATTGATCAGTTCATCCACGTTGGTAAGTGTGCGAGGTGTCGGCCGCCGGCGGAGCATTCGCTTTCCTTCCCCTCCGCCCTTCTTCGGCCCTAAGAAGATTAGAGACAATCCCTTTTTGTGTGTAGCCGTCCTTGCTCCGAGTCTCCCGGTTTTAGCCTTCCTTCTAATAGTCTTAAACCGAATGAGGAGAGGTGCCGGGGTCCGTCCGGTCTAGTCCGTCTTCCGCCTCCATGAAGTCACTATGATTCTGGAGCCTCCGCTTCTCAGCCCGTAAGTACAGACTCTGAACACCACCGGGCGGCTCTTAGACGTTTGCTATCATAGCAACTCCCCCCCCCCCCACCAACACCACTAAGTACCTCCTGTAAATAAATTTCCTGTCATATCAAAAGTGTATAAAATACGTAAATTCCGGTAAAATAGAAAACGAGACATGCCATCTTGCTTCGAATAAACGAAAAAGATTGTCTTTAAAGATCGTTAAAGTCACCCCTTGTCGTTCAGGATTATAACGCATACAAATAGCCATCATTAGAAAAGTGTACATATACTATGTAAATACACACCTGTCATGTTTATTTCAGCATGTTTTAATATTCAACTTATGAATTTGGCTTTCAAATGAGCCAATTCCCCTAGGTTTGAAAGTACAAATTTATTACATATCGTCCCCCAGTATGATATATGCGTTCACTACCGCACAGGTTTCGGATAGTACTATAAACCTCTAAACTAACGATTATTTGGAGATCCTGAGATGCGGTCTTGTGTGATGTAGGTTTCAGAAAGACATTTTCTTTATCGTGCCAACGTTTCGATCTTTATTGAGATCATCTTCAGGGCCTCGGATTTATAAACATTGTTTAAATTATACAAATACATGTAAGATGTGAAAAATTAATTTATACAATGATAGAAATTTTACATTCAATCAGCGTATTTGTACTCACTAAAAGTGTTTGTTTTCTATGTAGATGTGTCATTGCTGTGTGTCGTGTAGAGAGTGCCAGAGTCACTAAATACCACTCATCTCTAAGCTAACGCCAAAGCTAAAGAATACTTCCAAACGATTTAAAACTGAAATTGTTCAGTGAACCACAATCGAGTTTTAACGTGTGCGTACTGTTTTGTAACCACTTTAGTGAATTTCTAATGCACAATTTCTATTAACGTGTCCTAGTGTCTTGAAAATAATTTAGTTTATCTCTGGTTATCAACTTAAAAACCTAAAATTTAGTATCTAGCTAACCGCATCAAAATGAAATGTGGGGTAGAAACTTCCCCTAGCTGCAAACAAGCCGGAGATAACAGAACAAATTTTATTTACAAATATATACATTATTTGTATACAATGGTTTAGTGGAGTTTCTATCTAGCGCCACTTACCTCCAGCTAGTTAGGATATAACGACATTTTTATTATTTACATTATTTTATATTGAGGAAAAATACTATATAAAAAAAAACCATATTCGCCAAGTTATAGGAGAGCGTGCTTTAATCTCCTGTGTCCAAGCAATAGTTGCCTATTTGGCAACAGACTGTACTGGTATTAGCTTTGCATTGCTTGAAAAAATTTAAAGCTTGCATCCCTGATGTATTCCCGCACCATCAACATGTTTGTCGCATTGTGCAGTTCCGGTATGGGTAATGCATGTATCGGGGCGAGTCTGTCGGAAGCGTCAGAAATTTGTGCCGCACAACCTGCAGCCTAGGGCAGTAGTCCTGGATGTCAGGCCTCAGGAGGGACACGCGTATGATTCAGGTTATAAATTTTTATTTAAAACATCTAATGGGTTTCTAGTTAGAGTAAATTGTAGTATCAATCACAGTTATGACTTTTTTGCACACATATCCTTCTCTAAAATTCAGGTAAATCTTAGTAATTGACCATTTTTGACCACATGGGCTCAAGTTAGCAAAATCACTGAGTTGTGACAATGATGTACTGTACAGGGTATCTTTTTTAATATACGCCATTTTTTCCCTATTTTTTTGAACATATACATAAAAGTAACCAATGGTAACTCCCTTGTATTTTTGTGCTGATCCCAAACCCGTCGTCACTTTTTTATTTCAAATGGGAACCCTAAGTTTTTAAATATTTTTTCTGAGAAGATTGAGTGCCACAACTTTGGAACACCACCAAAATTGACGGCTCTTGGATTTTTTGAAAATATTAAAAAATATAAGGAAATTTTGCAAATAATGTTTATTAAACACAAATTTACATATTCTTTTTTCCCTATGAGATGGGTGGGTAAACGTAAAAAACTTTAAACACATCCACTTCTCATGATAAAAATAATGACATTGCTTGCATGAATGTATATAAATATCTGAGTTCAAAAACGTACTTGATGGTTATTTAAGCAATTAACATGTTAATTTTATTGAACCTTTGAAACTTTCATCAAATAAATTGTTCAAATTGAAGAACCTGTTGCCGAATACATGCATTCAAGTAAGCAATATCTCTTATTTTATGATTAGAAATGGTTGTGTTTAAATCCATTATATTTAGTGTCTATTGACCACATTGCTTCTTTCAATTAATTAATCTTTTTATGTAAGGTGAAAGGTTCGAATCCCGCTCGTGGCACTAACTTTTTCATTTCAACCAAAACCAAATGTGTTTAAAGTTGTTTATTATTAGTATGTTTACCTACCGACCTCATGGGGGAAAAAAGAAAATTGAAACTTGCGTTTAATGAACTTTACTTATGAAATTTCCTTAATTTTTTAATATTTTCAAAAAATCCTAGAGCCATTTTTGGAGGTGTTCCAAAGTTTTGATAGTCTTTCTTCTCAGAAAGAAATCTAGTTTCAGAAAAATATTTCAAATTTAGGGGTTCCCATATACAACTTAAAAAAGTGTCGACGTATTTGGAATCAGTACAAAAATGAAAGGGGGGTTACCACTGGCCACTTTTTATATCTGTTCAAAAAATAGACAAATCCTACGGGTGCATGCTAAAAAAGACACGCTGAACAGTTTATTTCCATTAGTCTTTCGCTGATGGTGAAACGAAAAAATATTAACCCGTTACAATACTATTTATTACCATTAATTTAATTTTCCGTTAATTGATAGTTATATTGTGAGATGTCCTCTTGAGGTATGCACGATGATGAACCCCGATCGTTTTGATCCGCCAATCCTCGAGGTTTGGGTCGGTTAGATGGGCTTCGGCGAGTTGATCGCGAGAAGCCGAAACGCTTCTGGGAGATAAAAGCAAAAAGTTCAGGATGGTCAAAATGACCGGAAACGGCCTAGTAACAGATGTTTTATTAGTGAGTATCCAAGTATAAACCTGTGTAGAAAGAAGAAAATACTCAAACACAAATAAAACATACTTGTTTCAATGTAAACTGTATAATCAGGGATCAGAAATTCATTGAGAGTTTTAATAAAATGGTTTATTTATGGTGGTTTGAAAGGAAATTCACCAAAATACCGGAAAATCATTTACTGATAGAATAAACTGAAAGTTAAACCTTTATCTACCGGCTAAATTATTTTCTCGTGTTTTCTCTGTTGTTGTTGTTTCTCTGTGTATCTCGTTCTTTGAAACCATCATAACTATTTTTTTTATATTTTTTTTTTTTTAATTAAAGCAAGAATTCCTGATCTCTAATTATTTGATTTGCATTAAAATAAGTATGTTATATTAATACATATAACGATAAAAATGCATATATAGTGTTTGAAATATAAATATTTGCCTTTTTTTCGATGCAGATGTAAAATAAAATGTTATCAAAATTAAAATTATTTATTAGTATTTTTTTTTTCGCCACAGCAGAGGTTATATCAACCCTCGGGGTGCCGGTGTTTTTGAAAAAAAAAGCCCATTTGTAAGTATATCGAGTTCGTATGCAGGGCCGCTGGATTCGAACCCGGGACCTTTACCTTACAGTGATGAGCGCCGTGTCAACGCCTAAACCGTTGCGACCACCGACGCCTTCCCCCCCCCATTTATTAGTACTAACATTATTTGTATTTTTTAAATTAAAATTGTAAAGACTATTTCAAATTTAGCAAGATTGTAAAATCAATTGTTTTCTAATCGTTTCTTTGAATAAATAATATTGAGTGTAATGGTTTAAAATTTTCCAAAATTCTCCAGTCCATTGAGATGGGCGCAAGTTTGTAAGTCATTAATAACTATTAATTAAATGGCGATTAAAAATTGAATTTGCGTACATTCAAGTTCGGGCTGTTTTTAAAACCAGACTCTTTTGCTGAAGAAGACGCAGTTTTTCTAGAAATACCTAGAGTCTTATACACTTCTAGGGTTGAAGTTTGTACTCGCATTTATTTCGAATATAGCCGAAAAACGTGGGGTTTTGCATTACAGCTGTCTTGAGTGTGTCCTTTAGCAATTATATTTTCACAAATTATCCCATCTGCACATTTGCCTAGATTCATGGTTAATGGGTTTGAGAAAATCGGATAAAAAATCCGAGAAAACACATATAAAAACAAAATTAATCGATTAGAGTGCTTTATCTTCATGGAAACTTTTGTCATATTGTTCTAATATTACATTGTCTACATAAACAGTAGGTCTAAACTAAAATAAACTTTTGGCCCCTCGGTCCTCGCTGTTTTTGTTGAGTCAGTTTCATCTAAATGAAAACATTTAAATTCATATCTATTCCCATCTAGTGGGTTCATACTATGTACTATAATCTTCTATAATCGTAAAAGTTATGTAAACTGCTTCCTCCGAGAGGAATCACACGGAGTGGAAGCTATAAACAAGCCTTTATAGGTGTAATTAGAGTCGAGCTATAATCATAAATAGCTTAAGGAATATTTAATTTGGTTTATAACTTAGGTTTCGGTATTACAATTAGGTACACTACGGACAAGACATTTTAAACATTTTTATGTGCCTGTTATCCGAAATTCATCGTTTTCTGGCTATTCGCCGTTATTCATAAAAATCCTATAAAATTCATAAAAAGTTTTGTGCAGGTAACTTTTCATTAATTAATATATGTTTAAGAGAATACAAGTTATAAAGTAGTAATATCGCAACTTGAATAAATAAAGTTATAGTAATGTATTCAGTTGATCGATTTTGGAGCTTATTGTTAGTCTTGGGATTTAACGCTTTAAACGTTTGTATTAGGGTCCAGATTCCAAACATCGCCTAATCGCCTGGGCGAGATTCGATGGAACACGTTTGATTAAATAATTAAACGGGAGTAAACATGCCAATTAGCGCAGGACGTCTTTTGTTATGCTTCATCCGATGATCT